ATGGCTTCCATGGAAAAGCCCCTTGCTGCAATGCAAAAAGCCTGTGGAAAGGTGAAGCCTTGGCGCCCTGACTTAAGGCTTTTTAGGCACTGCTTTCATGAAGAGATTGATGGTCACTATGGCCAATGGACATGGAGTTGCCTCCTTTCTTTTTGTCTAATGAACTTCCCCCAAAAAATCCATTTTAAAATAGGAGAAAAAAGAAAACCCTCTCCTGTTATACGCAATCTACATTAATGGATTTCTTTATCAAAGGCAGAAAATAGCTGTGTTGCTAAATATAATTAATGCATCTGGCGTTGGGAGAACATTATGCTGAATGTCCATGATACATTCGCTGTCCCCTTGGGCAGTAGCATATGATCAATTTTGCTACTCTGTCCTCACCTAATTATTGCTGTCGCTAATGAAGGGGAATAGAGAAAACCATGTCTTAGTAGGTTAATAAGCCATCCAGAAAATTTTATTAGCATGATTGGTCCTTAATGATGATGGGTTCTCATAGTAGGAGATCACCTGAAAGGTGTTTTTAGGCAGGGATGGCACGGGAAATGGATGTCATTTTATAGCTCTTCTTGCAGGTGGGCTCACCTAAATTTTGATAATTCTGGCCCAAACTTCTGGGCAGGAGTTCGCACAAACATTGCCATCATCACTGATTTATTTTCTCACGTAGCCGTCTAGAAGGGCAACACATATAAGCAGACAGAGCAGGTTCTACCCAAAGTTAAGTAGAATCACAGTCTTCCCTTTAATTTGCTAACGACACCTCTGCAATGGCAATGCAATCAGTGATATGGCTGAAGTGCCTCAATCAATACTAATGAGAGAGAGGATATTTGCAGAGCGGGGTAGATACCACCCATTTGCTTTGAAGACCTCTGCAGAGTTGGCGTTTCCAATAAAGATCATATTGTCTCCTGTAGGACTTAGGGACGTTCCCATTGACGCTTCCACCCCTGGCTCCTTGCCAGGATGGGACGTGCTGGACGTGGTTTTCAGTTGCCAGTTTTGGCACCTATCTGCCATGCTGTGGGAATTGGAGCRAACGGCGTCCTCCGGAGACCTCATTACGGAGCACGAGCCCGTCCCACGGCTCCTGCGCTCCTGAACTCCAGGTCGGCTCCTGCTCCAGGTTGCAAATGTGCAACCTGCATTAGCACCATGGAAATGAGGAGAAAATAGTGTAAAATGGAAGAAAAGTGGAGTGTGGGGGGGGGAAGAAAATGAAAAGCCACTTCTCCCGTTGGGTTCAGCAGAAGGTGGCCCCAGCTCATTTCAAAGCAGAGCCACTTTACACCGCCTTGATTATGTAAATGGGACATAAGATAAATTGGACTTCCCCTGGCTCTGACACTCCCTTGCGTTGCCAGAGTGATTTACAGAAGCCGTCGTGTAAATTAGAACCAGGACTGGTGTCTGCAGCCTGCGTTTGGGGACRTAAAACCAGCCATTTCCGAAGATAATTGCGGTGCAGACGAGACCAGGAGCAGCCTCCTAAAATCGGTTAATACCCAGATTTGGGGGGTTCTTCAGTGGCTTAAATGGAGTGGTGCATTATCTCCTCGATAGTCTGCCCRAAAGATAGATTTGATGCCTGCGAGCAAAGACATGAAATTGCTATAGGCTTCCACTCTTATAGCCTGCCACCTATTTGATTTATGTGATAAGTGATCTCAGATGACCCTCCAAGGCACCGAACCATTAGAGAGTTATGTTGCACGGCGATAAGAAATCTTCAGAGATACCTAAATCTTCTTTTACCACTGGGAGTTTCATCTGTTCTGGAATAAAGAACATTTTTATGTATGATGTTGCTATCTTGCCAGCCATACTAATATTCAAAAGGATACACAGCCTTAAATCAATAGCGGAGTGACAAAGACCTTAAAACTAAAGTAGTCACCGAGTGGATGTTCGGCAACTCTTTTAGGTTTTATCTTTGTGCCTTTCACTCTGTTTCTTGAAGGATGAGTAGCTGCAAGGGTTCAAATTCAAGTGTCCTCTTAATCTTTCCACCAGGCTGGGAGCTGGCAGAAAGCCCTGGAAAGTCACATCACCCATTTTGGTCTCCCTTGTTTTAGGCTTTGTGAAATCATGGATGGGCTCCTTCCTTATAGTTTCCACTGAATTTCTCTGTATTCAGCCAGCCCTGGACATACAGGACGTGCAGGAGGAAAGCGCGGGGTGCTGAGCCCGCGGTATSTGCTCCGCTTGGCTCTGGGGCACCATGTGGCACGTGCCAGCCGGGATGGATGCCACCAAGGCCTGGGCAGCATTGCAGGCTTGTGGGCAGCAGCTGCATCCATCCCTCGAAAATCCCCCTGCACAGAAGCTATTCCTACTCAAATTAATGCAGGAGGGAAGACAAATGGTTCCCACGTGCTGCCCAAAGCCGCTTGTGAGCGGAAGATCTTGGCAAAATTAACTGAACCTCCTCTTCCTCGCGCTGGCCATCCTGCCCGGCCTCAAATCTGGGATGCTGGCATCCCGCGTGCACCGGGCGAGCGTCGCGCGAGCCTCGTGTCGGCTCGCCGGGGGCTGTGCTCCGGGAGCCTTTCCTTTGGAAACGCTGTTGGAGATATCTGCGTGGAGAAGCCGGCCTCGGCGAATTGCATCCAGTTCTGCATGAAACGCCCTGCGGGAGCAGCGGGCATGGGCACTAGGCAGAAACAAGCAGACACTGTTGGTTCGGAATAAATAGACCTAAGGATTGAATGCGTTCCCTGCTGGCCACAGCCTGCAAAAGCAGAGATTTGCAGCTGGATGCCTGAAATTCTGCTGCTGTAAAACCACCCGCATTCAGCCRGGAGGAATGAGGCTCTGCAGCCTATATGTGCACATATACACACGCCTATACACACACATACGTGGGTAAGCCACGTGGTTATTAGTAAAGAGGAGGTGAAGGGAAAATGGCACGTCCCTGGTTCTCRCACTGTTCAGCACCCCTTTCTTTGCTCTAAGCAAACCCAGGGCACCTCCTAGGCTCTTCTTTCTCATATTAACTGCACTGTGTCCTGGGAGCCTTTAGCACACTCAACCCAAGTGAGCTCTCTTTCAGAGCTGATTTTTTTCCCCAGTTTGACATACCCTCGACATTACCCAAGCCTGAAAAATCTCCACTCAGGCCTATAGAAATAATTAGATTTTTTTAAAGATAAACTCGATAGTTTCTGGTATTTATCTTCCTCCCAAACTTTGTTTTCCACAGCCATCGAGCTTAGACATGCCTTTCAAAATAAATACACATCGAAACTGATGTTCTTTTGTATTGGGATAATCCAGCGCCTGTGATTTTAAGAAAAACACACCACCTGAGATTCACAGTAAAAGCATGAGAGCTGCGAAGTGCTGTAAATTGAATCTGCCTGGCATCAAAGCCGTGCCAGACTGTATCTCTGTGGTCTTTAGCAAGAAGATAAGACCTAGGACCTTCCCTGCACCACTGATGCTGATGATGCTGCAGAGCAAAAGCCCAGGGCAGGTTTTCCATTTCCCCACCTTTTTTTTTTTTCGTACATGTAGTTTGTGACTATAAACCTGAACAAACCAGCACCTCTACAAAGAGAGAGGGGCAAACTCACCTTTTTTTTCCCCCCTTTCTTTAGTATCATCAGAAAGTTTGTCATAGGTGAACATTTCCCTTTTAGTAGCATCAAAATTCAAGCCATGCCCTGATGAGGAGCTGCTGCAGCACAGCTCGTAGCTGAGCACGCCAGCAGGTCATTGGATTTTATTAGGTTGAGCAAAAAAAATAACTCGTGAGACAAGCTGTCTACCTTAGCTATCTCCGTGGTCCATATTAATGCAGTCTCCAAGCATAGCCCGGTCTTAACGTGCTTGTTCTCATATTCTGCAATGGTAGGAAGTGCTGTTATTCCCATTTTACCGGGTGGGGAATATGACAGAGGTTAAATGACTTACCCAGGGTCAGAGGTGGTTGGTCTGGATGGTTTAATTTTTCTGCAGACGTTAGCRGGATATTCACAGCAAGAACATCTTGCTAGAAAGCACCCGTGCAAACMTGTCACGAGGTGCGTATAGATGGCTACATAAATGTAGACGGTGTTTCTTTGGGGTCTTTGAGCAGTTCCCGTTTCTGGGTTCCTACCTTAGTGGTCTCCTCCTCTCATTCAGTTGTCAAGAGTGGTGTCTCAGTCCTCTTAACTTGATATTCTGATTTCCCTCTCATGTTATGGACAACATTTAAGGGCCAGGTRCTAACTTTAAAAAATTGCAGAGACCTGTGTTGACTTTCCCAGATTTCAAAACTGACCTTCGATAAAGGCTAGAGGTGCCGCATTCCCAGTTCTCCAAGGCCATGTTGGGATTATGTCTGATGGCAACACTAGGGCTACCTAATTTGGGGTGATTTTAGAGGCAGAGCAGGAGCAACGTGGAGGCCGTTGGTGTTGGCTTTCCCTGCCTACTGGAGATCATCCCCTGCTCCGCATGGCACTAAATCTTCCTTGCYAGAGATAACTAGTCCTGGGGGCTCATTGCAGTACTTGTAAAAGAGAAACATGTTTTGCCTTCGAAGCAGGCCAGATTGCACTGCACGACAGGCAATTTCACACAAAAACATCCCCTGGGGTCCTTCTCAAGGTCTTCACCCGCAGAGGACCCGAAGCAGCGTGAGATACCATCAATACACCTCAATTATGTTCCCAGGAAACAAAGCAGCGCAGCTTAGTGCCGACTTGACCTTCCAAAATTGCAGCTTCCTGGAGCTGTTGTTGAAATGGCTGAAGAATAGAAGGAGACTTTCCCTGGTTTCCCTTTTAACACCATAATTCAGGACATTTATCACAGACCAGGAAGGGGTTAGTTCTGATAGCTGAGTTGGTCCCAGTCAGAAATACCATCTCTTGGCCGAGCGTTGGCTTGGGGAGCGGTGCATTAAGCAAACATGGGGAATAGATTTTTCTAGAGAGAGAAGTGTTTTTGCTGCCGTCCGGTGTTTACTAATGTGTATTTTTCTGCTTTCCATCAAACAGTCAATGAAGGCTCAGGTGAAACCAATCAAAAAGAGACATCGACCTGTGACATTTGCCAGTTTGGGGCAGAGTGTGATGAAGATGCAGAGGATGTTTGGTACAGTAACTTGGTCTACTTTTTTATTTTCATGAATGTCTATTATTTGAAGATGCTGTGGTTCAGAAAGCATTAAAAATATGGGATATCGGATTTTCCACACCCAGAGATTCATCACGCAGTGATTGAGGTGGTTATTAGTCTGCAAAAATGAATAAAAGTCTGTTTTATAATCTTGAGGCATGCACAATTTAGCAAAGTCTAGAAACACAGAGTTATCCATTTTGTTGCTGTTATAACTTGCGCTGTTCCATCTGAAGGTTTTATGGCTCTATTCTTTAGTTTTCTTTGGGGAAAATAATTGACCTAGAAAGGTTTCTCTGGCTAGAACACATCATTATTATCGTCACCATCATTTTACGTTACACTTGGCGTTAGAAATGTTGGAAATCCCGCTCTCCTTTATCAAAGTTGCTTGGGGTGAAGAGCTGTCAGATAGTGCCCCGTGTCAGGCACCGGCCTCGTCCAGGCGGGACGTCCACGCACGGCCGGCCAGGCATGAAATCACGACCGTTTCTCCCGCTCAGGGAGGAAGGCTGCGGATGCCATCATCAAATTTGTGCTCCTTTTGGTTCTGTCCTGCCAGGCTCTTAACCCCTGGTTCCGGTGGGAGAAAAAATTCCAACCCGGCCGAGATGGGGATGCTTAGCTAACCTTGGGTGGAAATAGGGCTGCTTTGGCTCTCTCCCCAAAGTGATGAGCCCAGAGGCATGCCAGTGGGTGCCAGAGTCGCGCTGGGCTCCGCTATAATAGCAGCTTTCCGGAGCACACATATATTAGTATGCCATTCCACTGTCTGGTATCACGAGAGTGAACGCAATTTGGCGTCCCATTAGCGAAGCCSTGTCTCTGGGTTAAAAACAAAGACTATTCGGTTGAGCGTCTTTAACATCGCGCTGCTTTCATATGCGAAGGCTCCGTGTCGCTGAGAGGCTCGCGCGTTGCTGGCGTTATTCCCACCTTTAATGCACTTTGCACCAGCGGCCTTCATRAATATTTCATTTAGCAGGGCAGTGGCTCTGCTCTTTAGCACGGGGCTGCAGTCTATGGGTAAAGCAGACAGTCAGTGTTGCCTACTCTGGGTTTTATTTCCRAGTTTGCTGAGGAAGAATTGATTTTGTGGGACGGGTCTACTCAACATAACACCCCAAGAGATGTGCTTATAAGGAGCGTGATGAGCAGGGGCATCTCTCAAAGACCTTCCAAAAAGGCATCTATGAAATACTCCCTAAATAAATGGTGCTCAGCAAAGGGAGCACCATGTCAGAGCCYTCGGGCCTTTATTTCGTAGTTTATTGCTAATCCTTAGTACATGTATCGGTATATGCGACTTTAAGGTACCAACCTCTCTATTTTCTAGTGTAAATCCTGTGCTGAGCAATCTAGGCAGCACCTAGAGCAGTGGAACTGCATTCTCATGCCAACGAGCTCTATTACCCCAGGAAGATATTTGCACAAATCATGCAGCTGCCATCAACCGCTGCCCCCCCTAAAATCAATATTGTGCAAACAATCAATATTTATCTTGATTAGCGCATAGGCAAGAAAACATATAAAAGGAACGAGTGGTTTTGCCAGCTTCTCAATCCACAAGGCAATTAGGGCGGTCGGCTTTGGGTCCCTTCCCGCTCCCATCGGCTGCTCTCAGCCAGAGCATCTGCAAACAAGACCATGGACCCCTATGAGGAACTGGAAGGTAGTGTGGAAGCTCCCATGCATTACACAGGTACTGGCTGCCCCTTGTTCAGCAAACAAGTGTGACCTGTTTGTTCCAGATACGGAAACAGCCGGCCCTTATATTTAATATCTGCAATGTCCTGTGCCCTATCCAGGCAAAGAAATATATTCCTAGTCAATAATCGTGCAGGAAAGGATGTACGGACAAAGTCAAGGGGCTATGGCACCCACCAATATTTGCCATGAGGTGACCGTTGCATATACATGTATATATGCATACACATATATATGCACACACACGCATATTTTATATATATATATATACACACACTATTTTTGACGTAAACCAAGACTGCCWAGAATTACTTTATTGTCATTACTCCACTCTGATAACACACTGATAAATAATTCAGCCTACCCCAAAGAAACTGAGTGTCTTTTCTGTATGCATCTACGAAGASTGTCATGTAAACTATACATCATGGCTTTAAGTGTTCTTAAGTAAATGCAAAACCATGTTCCATCTGTATTATTCACCCAGATAGGTGTTGCATGGACTTGATATGATAGATAAATCCAGAAGCTAGAAGCCGGTTTCTAGCTCATCCAGAAGCTAGAGTCTTGGCTTTCAGGTTCAGAAAAGACGCTTCCAGCCTATGGAAGTTAGTGACAGTTATTGCACCGGCTTCGGCGAGACGAGCGTTCCTTCCCAGTAGCGAGGTGTGGCGTAACTCCCCGCCAGCCAGCGGAGCCACGGGCTAGCAGGAGGCAGGACAGGCTCTGGCAGCGAGTCMCTCACAGGGCGCGAGGGGAGAACGCCGAAATGGGGTGATAAAAGCAGGATTTGGCTTCCCGACTGCTTGCGGCGCTACAGAGGAAATATTGATTTGTGAAAAGCCAAAAATAGCCAATGAGATTTTTTTTTTTCCAGTTTTCTTGTCTCATCATGGCTCTAGCCTCCTGCAGCAGCAAAACAAAAAATTTTAAATTGTGAAATTTAGAGCGGAGAAGCTTATGGGAGATACACAGGCTGTCATTTGTCCTTGCAATTGGAAGCCTTACGCTTGCCATAAATAAATAAATGAGTAAAAGCACAGCAAGGATTTCACAGTCCGAAGCCTGTGTACGTGAGACTTTACAGGATGACTTCAGGACTTTACAGCATGAAGGAGCAAGTGGGTGGCGATGCAGTTTGCATTTTTTTCCCCCATTTTCCTTTCTTCCCCATTATTTGAAGGGAAGCTTCCCTCACACCCCAGCCCTGCACGTGCCTTCACGACGGCCGATTTAGTCCCAATAAAAAGCCGGCGGGTCTAATGGGCAATCAAGAAAGGGGTGACATTTATTGCTCCGCTTTTTATGATGCTGTGAACCGAGCAAGATTTGGAGCCGTGCGGTGCCTTCGGGGGGCAGGAGATCTCCGGCAATGAATCGTGTTTATACCTTTTCCAATTTCCCACCAGCGTTTTAGCAGTGAATAGACGGCGTTGTTATTGAGTTTTATGTAAGCGTGTTTGCGAAAGCAGGAATACGGCTTCGTAATTCGGAATTAGATGCGTTGGCTAAATAGACCGGCGGAGAGGATAACTACGCAGAGCCCGAGGAAAGCACTTCCACTTTATTATCAAACGTCTTAATAGAATGTCTCATCTCTTCCACCCAGCTTTATGTTAACCATAAAATTAAAACTACACCCATCAGAGAAGGTCAGAGGCTCCTTCGYGCACCCATGTTGGAACGTCAAGGCTGCAAAAAAGAAGAAAAAACACCTGATTATTCAGCGCTTCCTTCTGCTGTGCTGCTTTGGGGTCCTTCAAATCATTGTCATTCTGCACTGCGTAGTAATAAAAATCTCTATGCAGAGTGCGGATGGTTCCTCGCATGGTCTCTGTGATTTCTAATTGTTTGAGGAACCGTCTGCTATTGAAATGCCATGCGGAAGCAGTGCTTCGCCCGAAGGGAATCAAGCTTTTCTCCTCCCGCTCCTGGCGAAGATAAACATTTGAACAGTGRAAATAGGTAAAACATCCCCGAGAAGCCTCTGTATGGGAGCAGACGTTGCCAGAGCCCTTCGTGCTGCAGCTGAGCTCTAAAGGACAAAAAAAAAGAGGGATAAATAAATAAATAAATAAATAAATAAATAAATAAATAAATAACCCTGAATGGGAGGCCCTCGAATAAGCCACATTTTGTCTTCTCTTGTGATCTGAGAGCAAAAGCGAAGCACATGCAGACCCAGGAAAGAAATAGCGCCTGCTATTTTTGTGCTGCCGTTATAAAATATGTATAGTTTATTGTTCAGCACTGCAGCTAAAGTCGTGCGTCGGCCTCAAAAAAACGAAGCAAAGTTTGTTTTGAAGAAAGCACACAACATCTCTCTCTTTAAAGCCTTTTCATGATGTTTTTGAGAACATCTTGAGGTGACAGGATTGCAATCTCCTGGGAAGCATAGGCGAGTCTTGAGGTGTGCTGCATAGAGAGTGGAAGCAAAACGGCTTGTGTAAAATAAAAATATGGTTTTAAGATACAGTTTTATGTACATAAATACAGATGTATAGGCAGATGCTGTTCAACATGTCTGCAAAGTGATAGAGAAGGCATKTGGGGCTGAGTACTGGTCTCTCTATACAGTACATATCTCGACAGGGTGGCTTCAAATGGATGTTCAACATCCCATCTGGAGGGGAGGGCACTTGGAGAGGACAGCCTTGATACCCAAACAGTAAATTGACTTTAGGATTACTGTTTTCCAGTCAGAGGAAAGTCAGAAATCTCTCCAGTAGACATACCSTGAATGCACAACAACTGTGGTTTTATTTCTGCTCTGCTTTATGGAAAAGGAAAGGCTTTGAGTTTTTCTTTTTATACAGCAACATGTTTTTGCGTTATCTTTTTTGATTTTTCCTGGAGAAAGTGTATGACATATTTAAAATGATTGCAAAACATCACTTTCCCTGCAAAATAGCATTCATGGAGGCATGGCGGGATCTCACAGTTGACCAAATTAGCAAATGTGCTCAAATATCAGAGCTCTGACTAGTAAAAATAACACTATATTTGCATTTTCACATTTTTTATCTCCTGCTTTCCTGTCTGTTTGGTTTTATGCCTTTATTCCTGACTGACAATTCTCTTTGTGGCAGATTTATTGCCGTGCTGCCGGTTGGACCCTGTAATCAAGTAGGCACTTGGCTGAAGACATTAGTCATTTCATTAAGTACTTTTTTTGCAGAGATCCAAGACAGCATTTCCTGTTGCTCTGCTTCCAAAAGCGAATGACCCATGGCCAGCAGAGCTGGGCTATGAATCTTTAATAAACAGAGTTTTCCAAACTGCAGCAGGCTCATTAAAATACATGGCATAGGGAAGAGCTGCTGTTGCCCTTTCCTTCTGACCAAGCGTCCCCACATCTGTCCTAGTAAAACCACCTAGGGTTCTTTTTATCATTTCCATGTCAAAAATGATACTCTAATGACTGTATGCATGAATTAAGGAGATCGATAATGCTCTTCTGTACTTTGGGGGCACAGACCCAGTCTGTCTTTTTATTGAGACACCTCCTTATGATCCTTATTCCCGTTGGGTGGTCGGGCAGCATGGGCAGGTTGTACTGTAGCAGATGCCTACGGTCTACAGCCGTGCAAAATGCATCAAGGAGGTCAAGAAGGTGCCCGGTTGCTGGTTGGATGGTCTTGATTTTACTCTTTTTTTTTTTTTTTTTTACTTTTTGTATTTGCCAAAATAGGTGCATTCAGTGTCAGGAAACTGAAGCAAATGAAGTCTGTGGTAGAAATAGAATTCATCTGAGACCATCCTAATGACCTGGAAGAAGAGGCAGCAGATAGCAAGCCTTGCTTAATGATTGTTTACCGTGACAGCCCAGATTTTAATCAATTAACATCTGAGCCCATTACTTGCAAGAGGCGATGGGCCCCTGGGATGGCATGCAGTAGTTTTGCCTTCTCAGGGGATATCAGTTGGCATCTTTGAAGCACTCGTCTCTCCCAGATGCTTTCAGAGGAGCTTTTCCGACTGCAATAGGCATATTTAAACCTTGCCATGTATTTAGTGCATGCCCTTGGGTACAGACCCATCCAAGACCCCCTAGGAGCCCTCATTGACCCTCTCAGAGCTTCCTGAGCCCCAGGAAAGCACAGTCAGCTTTTACGTTGCCAAGCTTTCCTCAATGCTATACTTAGGAATGCAGAAGCGGATGGATTTATTGATATAGCGATAATTGGAAGTCGTAGCGAGGGTGTTAAAATGGCCAAACCATCAAATTGCTTAAAATGAGAGACGTGCTCAAGTGCCTCGCGGAACGGGCAAGCGCTTCGCTTGGCGTAGCGTGCAATGAGGCGACCAACCGTTGCCTCTCATGAGGGACAGATGGGTGGCATCAGCCCCGCCTGACACTCTTTTCTGTGAAAGGAACAAAAATTGATTTATTTTTTGCATTTTTACATTTACAGTGGGCAGTAGGTAGGAACAGGACAGCTCTTTTGGGTGCAGGTGTCAGGACCAAGATTCACTTCAGAGTCTTGAAGGTCTTGGGCCTTAGTTGCAAAAGAGGTTCTCGCTTGGACAGCCCACGTTCCACCTCACATAATGTCCACGCTGCAAGCCAAGCAAGGGCTTTGCAGCTTGGTTCACTCTCTTTGATGCAAGGCTGTCCAGCTTTTGCAGGTTTGAGCATGAGCTTTGGAAAAGCTTTGTTCTTTTCTCATTTGCTGTGGGAGGCTAGCAAAGTCTTTCAGGGAGGGTTTTTTTTTAAATAAAGATATCAAGAGGTGCAAATAAATGCCTAATAGGCTCAGAAACGGTCTTTGAAATCAGCAGGAGATAGGCCTATGAGAAGCTCAGAAATCTCCCCCGAAGTGTTTGCTTGCATCTTAAGCATCTAAACACCTTTAAAAATATGTCTCTTAAAACAGGTTCTAGCTGACATTACTCTGAGCATAGGCTCCTGGCTTCCCCAGGCATTTTTTAAATTGCTTCCACACGTGTTAGAGTACCCTTTTGGTTTAGTTTTTTCATTGATTTTGTATTTTCTTGATTGAGACTAATATATATTAGTGTACACGCTCTTTATTTTTTTCTTTGTAGSAAAAAGGTTGAGAAATGAAGCCGCTTATGAACACTATAAAAGAAAAAAACTTTTTTTTTATTATTTCTTTCATGCTTATTTCAATATAAAAGAAAAACAGAAAAGAAGAGCATATGGCTGGTTGTGCTCCATCTGAAATGCTAATGGCAAAAAAAAAAATCTGATTGCTTAAAAAAAGGCCAGATTTTTATCTTACATTGCAGTGGAAGCTGTTACATAGGGACCTGGACTCTTTTTTTTTTCCTACTAGTCATAAAACCATTTCATTTAATTTATTACGACAACTTCCCACCTTTGGCCTCACTTGTAGCTGAAGCTTTCTGTTGTGGGCAGCTGGTTGGACACCCCAGATTCGCCCAAAGGGAAGCAAGTCTGAATCGTTGTTGGATCGGATGGACAGCACCTCAACAGAGGCAGATTTTGTGGCTCCTTTGATTTCAGCATAGCAAAGCAGCTTGAATTATCTGCAGATCTGCTTGTATGTTCTTCGTTTTATAACAAGAAGATCTACATTTGATAATGCTCTGCTTGAGTTTTCCATGGATAATTCTCTCTTTATCTTTCCCTTGGCTTACTGTTCTGTCTGCTCCCTCTCCCAGTAGTTCATTTGCATCCAGAAATACAAATGACCTTTTGACAGAGCTCTCCAGCTCCCTTCTGATTTGCATTGTAGAGAAAGGAAGCAAAAACACTTTTATTTTTGAGATTTATTTATGATACCATGAAAAAAAAAAAACTTCCTCACATTGGCCTCTTTTCTCCTTGCCTTTCCAGGTGTGTGTGCAACATTGACTGTTCTCAAACTAACTTCAATCCTCTCTGTGCTTCCGATGGGAAATCTTATGATAATGCGTGTCAAATCAAAGAGGCGTCGTGCCAGAAACAGGAGAAAATTGAAGTCATGTCTTTGGGTCGATGTCAAGGTAATGCTCATAACAAAACTGATTTCAAAGAATGTTTTCCATTTTTTTTGTTCAGAAAAAAAAAGGAATAAAGAGGAACAGAGCTGGCTGCTGCTCTGGCACTTCTCACRCTTCCGCTAGATCCTGTGATTCACATTGCAGAACACAGGCTGAGAAGGCCCACGTGGAGATACCCAGCCAGGCAAAAGCAGTGCTGGTAACTCTTCCCACACCTTGCATTCTGTTCTAAAATACTCTGTTCTAAAATAAAAATGAAGAAAATMTGAGGCTATTAAGGCTCAGGCTCTTAATAGCCTTTCTTTCTCCTTAGCTTCCAACCTATAAATCTTCAGTACATCTACCTACAGGCCACACTATACCTCTACATGTTACTTTATTCCTGTGTCTTTAAAGTTAACTGCCCTACCAAACCATCCTCATTTCAGGGCGAATATTAAAATCTCCAGTTACTTCRAATAGAGCAGAAATCACAACACCTTCTCTATACCAATGCATTTATCCTAGTGGCAATCCTTCAGCACATATTGCTTGGGGGAAAAACATTAAAAGTGTTTCCTTAGCGGGCGAGGTTTCGTGTTTCCTTCCAAAAAGCCTGATCCTGCTGTTCTCACCTGCCGGGCCCCGGGGGATGATGCTGTGCATGGAGGGGCAGCAGCAACTAGGCTGTGTTCCCTGGCAAGCACAGGGCTCCCAAAGTAATTCCATGCATTTCTTTTGACACAGATAACACAACAACAACTACAAAATCGGAAGATGGGCATTACGCGCGAACAGACTACGCAGGTACGGTCCTTATTCTGTGAGAACTGCAATTCACACAAACCACCTAAGTCACTTCTCTGCTTCCTCGGATGAGATTTCATCACCTTCTAGTATATTCTTGGTATATTTTAACTATAGACAAGTACGCTGTGTTCTTGTTGCTGTTTCTTTAGCGAGAAACAGTACTCCTTAGCAAATGGGCCTCTCTATTTTTATCAGTGTGCTGATATTCTGGACATAAAGCACTTGTTTTGATAGTGGGAAGGATAAATGTTGTAAACTAATTGCCAGAATTAGGAGACATTAAAGTTATTGAATTACAGTGCATAAAAGGGCTGTCTATTTTTGAGAGAATGCACAGACATAAGAAAGTGCAAATGCAAAGCACAGTGCAGCACAGCTGTGGCACTATGAAACGCTGCCATAATAGATAATATTACCTGTCTGTGTTTGACTGTGAAGTTAATAAGGTTCTTAAAATGGCTTTTTTAAGGTGATAAATGGCTTTAATTTATTTAGAAGCTACAGCAAAATATAATGACTGAACAGTCCTATATGGCATTTGAAATTAAAAACGTATAAATGCTGGTGAGATTTTCTTTACTGAATTTTCTTTCGAGATTTTTTTTTTTCTTCTTCTTTACGCCATTTATCTCGGAGGTTTGATTCAGGAGTAAATGTGCGGAGCTCAGACTGCTGGCTGAGAGGAAAAGCCTTTGCTTTCTTGCTCGCAAAGGCGCCGCCGTTACCCAGCCCCAAGGCAGCTGAGGCCCCTAGACCCATGGGAGGAATGCAACGTCCTGAATCATCCGGCTTACCCGGCAGGCCCTAGTGTGGAAAGGTGTCATGCTCTGAAAACTAATTCCTAGAGGTTCCTGATACAATTCAAGGAGGATTYGGGCGGTTTTGAGGGCAGCCAGTGTGACTGTACACCCCAGGCTGAGCTCATATCATCATCGCTTTGCAGTTTTGCTGCCAGTTTTGCTGGCATTTTTTGCATCCTGTAGTGCTTTCAGAATCTAGGCAATCAAGGAGTTTTCATCTTGTTTATTCATTTGACTATTTATTTTTATTCTTCGATACTTATAAGCCCTCCCTAAGATCTGGATAGCAGCAATTATACCCTGTACTGATTTTATCCTTTTTCATTATTGAATTACAGAAGTTTTTTTTCCAAGTCATTTTGAGCCCTATAAAGAATAACCCAGTATAGATGAGCCATATTTCAGTGTTATATATTCATGAAAATTGTCAGTAAAGACACTGACAAATTTGATAGAGCTATTCAATAATATGATCTTCCAAGCCAGACAGAACTCCCTGTATAATCACTGATTAGATCAAGACTTGCAAGCTGAACGCCAGCCACACAGTGAAGCTGATGGAAAGACCTTGAGTAGCTTTCAGCCATGATAGTCTCCCTTGGTGAAAAAAGCACATCCACAAATGTGGTTTGAGCCATGTCCATGGATTCCTTGCTAGCACGTTCTCACTTGACRACAACCTCAAACTGAACCTTCTGCGGTCCCTATGGATTCTCTCCTCACAGGCTGCCCTTGTGAGTTCAAGTCCAGTCTGCACTCTCAGGCAGCTCTTTTCCAGGCTGTCTCAGCATTCCCAGGTCTACCTCAAGTGGTTGGATGTGTCGGAATGTCATCTTCCCTTGGCTGGCCAAATCTGGAAAGAAGACCCAAGAGCTGCCRCAGATCTTCCAATTGAAGAATAAAAAGAGTTTTTGACCATTCATTTTGACCAAAATATGTAGGAATATAACATTTATGTATGAAAAGAAAAAAAAGAATATCTTAAAATTTTACCAAAACAAGGCACTCTGCATCATTGACTTCTTATAATTCCTTCAAATGGGAGAACAAATCATGCCCATCAAAGAAAACATCGAGAACTGACAGTGCTCCACTGATCCAGGACCCACTGAATGCAGTCAAGGTCGTCTTGGCTGACCCTCACTGTCCCTGGATAGGACCCAAGAGGCAGGACAGCTGTGGCACTGAATTTGTATATGAAAAATGACTATTTCTTTTTGATTTCAGGAATAATATGTTAGGAATTCAGAGGAGATTCCTTCTCCAGATTATAACATTTTCCAAGTAGGTCAAATTTTGAGTCTAAACCACTTGACATTGTCCCTTTAGTTTTATATCTGCTACCGTGTCAGCCATTTCCTAAACTGGTGAAAAATAACAACGTCCGACAGCTTAGCTCTGGGATATAAACTATCATGTAACTTTGATCTGTCTTTTTGAACCAGACATTATTTTCTTCTTAATGGAATTAGCAAGTGAGACATAGAGCTGAACATCAAGCTACCATCATAACTAGAGAGAAACCCTTTCTCATCTGCAGCCTTATGAAAACTATGAGGAAAATTGCAGCCTTGCACATGCAGATTTTCTTGGCTTTGAATTTCACAGATGCTAAGTCAGAGGTTGTCACACTAAACAAGTACATTGTTTAGGAAATGTTTCTGCTTTTCCATCAAATCATTTAAAATTGGGGGGAAAAAAGTACTATTTTGACAGCTGTAAGACTGGGTGAATGCTGTTGAGCTAAGACTTCCACATGCGCTCACACATTAATGCACACACATTCCTGGCATTTAGGAGTAGAAATACCATACAAATGATGCCTCTCTTAAAAATAGACAGCTTTTAAATGTTGGTTTAATTGTATGGTTGCTTTTTCAAGTATAGGATTTTATTAAAATGTACATAGGGTTTATTCACAGTCAAAGTCTGCAAAAGGCAATGGAAGTCCCCTAAACACAAACAAAACTCCCAGGGTAGGTTGTATCCAAAACCGTGGAATTTTCTTTCGGCCTGTGACTTAAGGAAAGTAATCAGGCCATCTGCCCCTGGGAGGTATGAACATACCAGACCTCATGGCTGTCCTTTAAAATCATTCAGAAACGTGAGGGGCAACATATATCACTGAAGTCTGAGGCATATAAACTCAGGACAATGAACAAGAGAAGAGCTGGTCTCAATGTGTAACATAATTTCACAATAGAAGCAGGTGAAGAAGTCATTTTGGTCCTGTTCTGGCCACCTAATCCTGATARTAGTAAAAATAAGAAGTAAAACAGAGTTGATGTGTTCAAACTGAGAAATTAAAGGGATCTGGTAGTTCACGAAGAAGATGAAGKATGGAACCACCAGTATAACCAGAAAGCAAACTTACAGATTATAGAGTATTTATGGTGCAAGGAGACACTAAGCAAGTGAACAGAAGAGCAAACTAAGGGTAGAGAATAATCCGAAGTGGCAGTTGCCCRTGTACATGGCAGGAAGCAGCCAGGGAAAATGTGTTTCCCATAAGGTAGAGTTGTGACAATTAGCAAACACAGAAGGTATGTGAGCGTTTTTTCTGACAGAGGAGACCAAGGATGAGACCAGTCTTGGAGGAAGGGTCTTTGGGCAGCATGCTCTTCAGTCACCAGTCTTAACACAGGCCTGCTATAAATGATGATCATTCTCCTTCGAGTGAGCTTAGGTCATTGATGCTTTCAATGATTTGCATTACAGTCATGTCTGACTGAGAGGGAGAACCATCACGTTAGTTCTGCACCTGAAATGCAGAACTTTCCCAGTAAGAATCATGAATCAATTATTAGAYGGTTTTCCATGAGTCCAATACTTCCTTTGCCTTCCATGGAGATTAGATCACATCGTTACGATTTTCTAGATGTGGGAGCTGCAGGTGTCGGATATTTCAAGAACTCTGTGTTAACTCACACAGAGGTAACGATGCCAGAGGAGCCTGGCCACCACGGCCACAACGTGGCACAGCTGCTGGCTGCCACCCACAGCCCTCTCTTGGAGTAGTTAATGAATATTAAGGAGCACCACAGTGCGTTCTTGTGCCTAGCAGCTCTATCTTAGGTCTCGCTTCTGAAAATATGCTACAAGGAATTACAGAGTCTTCCCAAGGATCTGAGGATTAAAGTTAGAATCATGTTTTGGAACATCCATTTTTCAGGAAACATCAGCATCATAATATCCGTGTTTGATCTCATTTGATTGTTTTCTGAAATGAAAATAAATATTTTGAAATATTCATAAAAAGAATTTCTTCAAAATTTTGTTCCGTGGGACAATTTGGCATTCTTAGTGAAACGTTAGATATCAGAACATTAGGAGATGAAAGCAGGTGACAGTTGAAAGAAATTACTTTTACACTGAGGAAAGTTGCTGCCTGGAAGTGACTGAAAGAAACATCACCATTTCTGGAAGGAGTATTGCCATGTCAAATTACAACATGAACACAAGATAATCTGATCACACAGACATGCAGACTGGAAACCTGAGCCTGAAGATAGATAAGGCTTTACCCTAGGCTCAAGAACGATATAGGCATCTGTGGGAATGAAAAGCTATATGCTTGGAGAAGGAAAGAAGGAATTGGTGCATTTATTTATTTTTAATAGACCTTAAGAATTAGACTATGTGGAGAAGAGAAGCAATTTTTTGCCAGTTGAATAGATGATTCTTCCCAAATATCTGCTAAAAGCCGTATATTGCATCGCCGATGTCCTCAGTGCAGCATACCTGTTCTTTTTCTTAAAGAAAATTTCTTAAAGAAACATGCATTAATTCATGCAAAATAATGTATTAATTGGTGGACCCTCTAGGGACAAAAACCTTTTATTCAAGAAAAAGTGGAAGTGCTCATTGGAAACCAGAAATGCTGTAGGAGWTGCAACACTGAGTATCAGCTATGCTTCCTCAAAAGCTTCTTTCCCTAAAGCATTTCTTTGCCATCGAGAGGTATTTATATAATATTCCCTAATCGGTGGCAATGCCTTTCCTAGTTTTATCCACACTGAACTGGAAGGCACTGCTGCAATAACCAGCCTTACCCACTTTCAGCAGCGTTACATAATAGTGAAATAAATTCCAAAATGAAAAAAAAAATTAAAACCGTCCCCATTGTTTTAATCTCCCTCTTCTATTTGGCCTGTGGCTTAAAGCCATGTCAGGGTTGCATCACAAACACCTCCTCCC